TTACAATTTTAGCAGTTTTCTTTGTACCTGCTTTATGGCCATCAACTCTTCACCCTGTGCTCTGCTAAAGGCGAAATACTGTAGATGTCCTATCTCTCCTGGTCATGCCTTAGAATTCAGTTTACTTGCTTGCCTTATAACTGTAACTCTCTGATGGGCTTGAGAAAATTGTGGTTGTGTAGATTGTGTAGATTGTAAAGATCTTTCTCATTGGTAGAGAGGGAGCAATATTGTCTTGGGGTTGTTTATACCTTCAGCACAGCATTGTTGGAATGGAATTGTAATATATACTATTTTCTTTATAAATATATTTATATTATGTATAACAAATATATATGATATATTCTATTTATCTACAATATCTATTTTATTTATATTATACTTTATATATTTTATGTATTACAATATATAATATATAAAAATACTATGTAATTTTCTTTATATTTCATATTACAATCTTGAAATTGCACCGTGTTGATGGAAGCAGGGTGGGTGCATTCTTCTTTACTATACCTGTATGTGTATATTACATCTTAATTGTTTATCCTTTGCATGGCTTCCAGGACCTTGCTCCATAACACATCCTCACTGGTTTCTATATTTTCAAATTCTTAATATTAGCTTCTTCTCCCTATATATAAATTTGCTTAGTCTCATCCCCAAATGAAAGTTTACTTTACTCTTGGGATCATCAGCTCAACTCTGGCGATTGCCCATCTGTTCATATGCTTGTTTACTACTTACAATTCTTCCTTTTTGAATTTCACATCTTTTATTGTGGTGTTTATAGGTTTTTATTTTTTTATTGATTTGAAAGAGCCATCGGGTTTGGCCAACCCTGGGTGGCACATTGGTAAAGAATCCACTTGTCAATGTAGGAGATGCAGGAGATGCAGGTTCTATCCCTGGGTCAAGAAGATCCCCTGGAGTAGATGATGGTAACCCACTCCAGTAGTCTTGCCTGGGAAATCTCATGGACAGAGGAGCCTTGTGAGCTATAGTCCATGAGGTTGCAAAGAGTCGGACATGACTGAGCTACTGAGTATGCATGCACATATTAAAGGTTTTAGTCTGTTGTCTGTCGTATATCTTGCAGGTATATTCTCCTAGGTTGTCATGTCTCTTTTTATTTTAGTTATATTTTTCTACTTAACCATAATTAGACAAATGTTTGCTAACAGATTTTCTAGTTTATACTTTGCTAAATGAAAGTTCATGTGCAAGGTAAAGACCTTATAATTAAAAATGAATACTTATAAAGCAAAAGTTATTACTAGCATTAAAATTGGGATAGTATTCACTATCAGGAATACATGTAGAGTGAGTTGTTTGGATAGCTAAAATTTAAAGATTATAATTTTTATAACGATTAAAACTTTATAAAGAAGTTTCAAAAGTCTACCTGTTTAGTAATAAATCCTAATCATTTTATTTTTATCTGAAATGTACATTTTCCTATCTTTTTAAAAGCAAAGGAAAGTTTTATCATCGTATGAGTATAAAATCTCCCACATTTGCTTCTGTTTTCAGTCAATGCATGGACTTTTAATTGCTAATTTATTAATGTAAATATTGCTCAATTTTACTTATTTATTAAGTTAATATTACTGAGTATGTAATAACAGTTAATGAATTCTTCTGAATCCAAATTTAACCACCACAAAGGATATTGCATCTAATTTGCCCTTTCCTTTGTCATTAGTGAGGGTACTATACTGTCATACCCAGATGTCCTCTGGACTTAGTAATTAATAATTTAGGAGATGTTTCTCTTTCCCTAGATGGTTCCAAACCAGTGTGTTTGAATTACAGAGTCTGCTTTTTACACCATTTCTTGCTGCTGCTTTGTTATTAGGTTGATAATTGTTACTTGTCACTAAATCCAACCTTACTAACTCCCCCCACCCCATTTTCAGGTTGACACTTCTAGTCTGCTGTGAGCTTAAAACTTCAACAATCAAACTTTTGGGAATCTCCAATAAAATAAAAGACAGAGGGAATTTTCATATGACCCAATATATGCAATTTATGTGTCAAATTTTTAAGAGATATTTTGGATTTACTTCTTCATTTTTTAACCTGTCTCTTAGCCACATTTACTGGATAATTGAAATTTGCGTAGGTGGACAGATGCTAAGTACCACCAGCAAAGCTACTGTGTGAAAAGTTCCATGGAACATATTCTGTGTGATAAGGCTTCAAAAATAAATTCTAAATATCATATTCTTGTTACACAGAATTTAGAGATGAAACGATGAAACTAAATTCACTTAGTCTTTCTATACCAAATTAATGGGTGAATAGATTGACAAAGAAAAGAAGTGATATTATACCATGTCACAACATCCCTTCTATCTTTTTCCTGCCTCCAAAGTATTTTGTTTTTTTGGAGATATTTTATTTTAGTAAGAGTTTCCATTCAGTATCACAAAATCTAAGTCTATGTCCCAGCCACTAATGCCAAAGAAGCTGAATAGTTCTGTGAAGACCCACAAGACCTTTTAGAACTAACACCAAAAAAAGATGTCCTTTTGATCATAGGGGACTGGAATGCAAAAGTAGGAAGTCAAGAGATACCTAGAGTAACAGGCAAACTTGGCCTTTGAGTAGAAAATTAAGCAGGGCAAAGGCTAACGGAGTTTTGCCAGAATGCACTGGTCACAGCAAACATCCTCTTCCAACAACACAAGAGAAGACTCTACACATGGACATCACCAGATGGTTAATATCAAAATCAGATTGATTATATTCTTTTCAGCCAAAAATGGGGAAGCTTTATAAAGTAAGCAAAAACAAGACCAGAAGCTTACTGTGGCTCAGATCATGAACTCCTTATTGCCAAATTCAGACTTAAATTGAAGAAAGTAGGGGAAACCACTAGACCATTTGGGTATGACCTATCAAATCCCTTACCTTTATACAGTGCAAGTGAGAAATAGATTCAAGGGATTAGATGTGATAGAGTGCCTGAAGATCTATGGATAGAGGTTCATGACATTGTACAGGAGGCAGTGATCAAGACCATCCCCAAGAAAAACAAATGCAAAAAGGCAAAATGATTGTCTCATGAGGGCTTCCAAATGGCTGAGAAAAGAAGAGAGTGAAAGGCAAAGGAGAAAAGGAATGATATACCCATTTGAATGCAAAGTTCCAAAGAATAGCCAGGAGAGATTAAGAAAGACTTCCTCAGTGATGAATGCAAAGAAATAGAGGAAAACAATAGAGTGGGAAAGACTAGAAATCTCTTCAAGAAAATTAAAGATACCAAGGGAA